TGGCCGCAGGGCAGGGGCCGTGAGGGGACATGGCGATACAGGGACAAGGGACACGCAGGGGAAACAGAGTTGGTGAAGCTGAAGAGCCACAGTGGCACGAGGAAAAACATGTAAATACCCTTTCAGGTTAAATTTAAGTAGAAAATCAGAAGGCGCCTAACACCAGAGAGGTGCTGGAAACTTTGGAACAGCAACTGTGAGGGCAAGAGCCGTATTTGAAGGTGAATGATAAGTTGATGAAGGACTTTGTGTAGCAACCTTACCCCAGAGAGCAGGGACTGACCAGGGCCCCCAGTCCAGTCCTTCTGTCTGTGTGGTTGCTCTGCAGCCGGGCCGCTGTTTCCCAGCCCTAGTGCTCCAGAGAGCTGTGGGGCTATGGGGAGCACCAGGAATTGCTTGTTGGTCACAGGAAAGTAGAAAAGAGGAGGGGAGTGCTGAACTACAGGCTCTTTCTGCTCAGTGGGAATGGCCTGGGTTCCTGGGGATCGGAGAAGGCAGAGCTCTTCTTGAGGCTGGAAGCAGCCCTGCTGGGCTCGCCGCCTTTAGAAGCTGAAGAGGCCCAAGTTCCCAAAGGAATGCAGTTTCCTGCATCACCATTAGAAAAAGCTCAGGCCAGGATGCCTTCCAAAAAAAGGAAGGACTGAGGAAAGGTTGTCTATGTTTTTACTGACAAAAGCCAAAGAACAGAAATGAAATAAACTGCTTATGCATGGATATAACCTGCCATTGTTGCAGTAGTGGAAAGAGCAGACTGTCACTGTTGGCAACCCAACTTTAACTTCTACTCAAAGGACAGTCACAGTTAAAATGAGCAAGCAAGTTGTTATAACCGCCCTATTTTTATCCTTAAAAGTCTTGCTTGGACTACTCTGCTGTCTTTGGGTTGTGCTGTCTTTCAAAGGATATGGCTTAAGTAGAAATATTCTAAAGATGGGTAGCGATAATAATTTGGGAAACAATTAGACAATGAGACACTCCAATGTGAGGCATGATCAGAAAAAAGATAAAATTGCTTTAAAGAAGATAGGTATAACATAGAAAATTATAATGTTATATAAGTGATATGTCCTATAGTAAAGCTAGTTTAGAACAGCATATTTGTTCAGTCTTGTAATGCAGAAAATTCTTTGTGTTTAAAGGCTATACATTTAAAAGGAAGGCAAATTTTTGATACCACATACAATTAGAGTGTGGAAGGAATTGACTGAAGATATTTTTGAGGCCAGGAATTCAGCAGACTTCAGAAAGGAAGTAGAGACTTTCATAAAGAGTTAAAAAAAATACAGGATTGTGTTATTACAAGTTGAAGCATATGGGGAAAAAAAAGAGCACAGAGTCTGGAGGAATATGAGCTATCATACTTCACAGAGAAGCCAATTATCTGACTGATGGGGATTTGGAAAACATTTTTCCTTACATGAAGTTTATTCCATAACTGTTCACTTTAGGGTTTCTGGCACTTTAGGATGAAGTATCTGGTACTAGCTGCTGTTGGAGAGGAGACACTGAATTTGATAGACCCTCTGCGATCGTTAGATTTCAGAGCACAATTCTGGGGCTGTTAAAACTAACATCAAGATCTCTGTTTGCACAAGCAGTAAACACAGTTCTTTACCATCAGGCAGGCAGTTTTGCTGCTGTTGAAAAGCCAAATGTAAAAGCTTTTCCTCTCCTAAAAGGCTGGTAAGCAGAGCTACTAGTAGCCTTCCACAGGTTGTACACTGTTCATTTTGTTGTGCAGTCTCTGTAAAACACTTCTCCTTGATCAGCATCTGCAGCACTCATTTAGAGGAGTCCAATTTTAAATAGTACACTCTAATATTTCTATTTCTCATTCTTTCTGGGATTTTTCTCTTGTTACTTTTTGTTCTCTATGGATTAGACTTTTTTGTTTTCTTAAACCAGCTGAGGGAATCCTTTTGGACTCTAAGCCCGTTTGTGGTTGTAGAAATGATAAATTTCAGCAGTAGTGGCGCCTGACTGTTAATGATTCAAAGACAACTATATGAAAACAAGATGTCATTTCTGGAGCCAGTCATTGACTTTCCCTGTTTACTGTCATTTCTTTCTGGGCTTGCCAGAGCCAGGATTAGGTGAAAGAGCAGATGAACTGGAAGACTCACCTGTTCTCTCAAGCTTGTGATCTGCAAAGGGAGAGATTCTGCCAGTCTGGCCATGGTTATAATCTTTGTTTTCCCGTATTAATCTTAGGGCCCTAGACTACTGCATTTTAATAAAAGTTTTTTTATATTGACAAGGCTCTTCTGGGTCACTGAAAAACATCCATGGGTTTAAAAGGTTCCCCAAGAGACGCAACTCTCACACAGGGACTTAATGTTCTTTTGGACCTAGCCGAAAGAATGACAGTGAAAAACAGTAGTTGTCTTTGTCAACAGCCCCTTAGTAGAGCATCAGAGGTATAAGCCTCACTTTAGGACTTAACCCTATGGAGTAGGTTCCCAAGGTCATTGCCTACCGAGAGAATCCTGGTGGTGCTTATATTCCTTAGCTAAAATCACCGGGTTTTGTCCCAGGGACATTTAGGAATCCAAATCAGCCTTTCAAGAGGATTAGCTGGACTACATTGATTTATTTTGTGGGCACGCTCAATCAGAATTGGAGTGACATTGATCTGATTTAGCTTAATTCACTTTCAAAGAATGGTTTAAGTAGCCTTTCAGAATT